GATTATTTTAAGTTGACCTAAAAACCATTTTGCTCTAAATAGCTGCTGACCCTCACCTACGGCCAGACCTACGGTCCGTAGGTCCAACAATGGATCGTTCTGGTCGGCTGTGGGTGGAATCAGAGACCCCCAAGTCTGGAACCCAATGACTGGACCCCACATACGGTCCGTGGTCTGACATACTGTTTGTCGGTGGCTTCCGTTGGTCCTGCCACTAGATCCTGGATAGCTGCATTTTTTTCATCTTCTCGAATATGAGGTATTACAATCTATGCTAGTACTGTTTGAAATAATCATAGAATTTTATGGGAGAATTTAAAAAACATTAAAAATACCTATTCTAGAAATTGGCTTATCGGGGGTGATTTGAACGAACTTTTTACCAACTCAAAAAAGAAGGGGGGAACCTCATTAATTACTCATGTGCTAAGGACTTTCTAGATACAATAAACTACTGTTAGCTCATAGATATGGGTTTCAAGGGTAGCAAATATATGCGCCTAAAAAAAGATTTAAAAATAAAGAATCCCTAATTTATGAAAGACTTGATAGATTCTTAGCCAATAATGAGTAGTTACAAAAGTACTATGACGCACAGGTACACCACCTACCCAGGACCCACTCTGACCATTGTCCCCTACTAATATCTCTCTTTAAAAATCCAAGAAACACGAAACATAGATTCTTAAATTTTGAAACTATGTGGATGTCCCATCCTGACTACAAAAGAGTAGTTGAAAGAGTTTGGGTAAAAAAAGGAAAACTCCTGCAACCCTAAAGGTCTTTGAAAATGAAGCTACAAATTGGAGTAAGTCTAATTTTGGTGACATCTTCTACAAAAAAGGAAAATAATTAACAGGCTTGGGAGAATACAATCTTCACCTAGATACACTAGTAGTATGTACCTATTTTTTTAAAATCAAAGCGGGTCCCAGGGACCATTTATTAGAAACTAAAAAGGAACAACCAGATCATAACATGATCTGGTCCAAAAACAAACTACTCTGCCCAAAAACGAAATACATAAATGAACAACCAAAGAAAGGAAAAAAGAGTTGGTCATCTTCAAGCTTGAGCTTCCATGGAGGATGAAGACGAGGTGCTGCCTTGGAGTGAAATCGAGTCATCACCTGTTGCAACTAGCTGCGTTCGATTCGTTTCCATCCCACTGATTCCACACAACTCGAACAACTCAGGTAAGAATCGATCTACTCCTTAACTCGCTTTTGATGTTGTAACCAATCCTTGAGTTCCATTTCTAAGTTTTACCCTTTTCTGCAGATTGAGTCAGAAACCCTAACTAATACCACTACATTGGCCAGGTAATTCTTATTAATTTTGCTAAAGATCGTTACTTTAAGTACACTACTTCAATGATGTGTAGATTTATATATCTTGATAAACCCAATATGCTTTCCTTTTCTTTGTGCTTTCACCTGAAATACTATTGTTGCTTGCCGTATTGTGCATTAGTATCATTATCACTGTCGCCATGTTTTCTGTTTTGCATTTTTTCTGATTCTCAATTTTACAATTCCTTGGATGACTCCTATCTGCTCCATGGTCGGAGAAATCGACGTCTCCGATGAAGATAGCAGTGAGAAGAGGATAGAAGATAGTTCAAATGCCTCCAATATATAGACATAGATTGAAATGGATCCGAATTTGGACAAATTTCACTGAAGACACTCAAAAACTCTCACAAGTGTCATGAAAGTAGGTCCTTTGAAGACTTCTTCAACTCGGATTGATCTGATCTAAACCACAAAATGAAGTTGAATGAACAATGATTTCTCCTCTTTCATCTTTGTGCACTGTTATACTTCAATTTAATTCATCCATGACCTTCTTTGTAGGTTGTGCCCCAAAGAGGCTAATACCACTGCATAAGGAGGCCACATATGAGTTCCATCTCCACATAAACAGTATATTGCAAGTACATCCACTTATGCAAGTACTACCATCGCCTTTTGATATTTCTTTGTCATCCATGTCTAGTTGTTCTTGTTTGTCTCAATTATGTCTGTGTATTGAAACCCCTGTTTTGGATGTTTCTAATTCTAAGATTGGGAGTTTGTGTTTTATCTAGGTGTAATATTGCTTTCCCTTTTGGTGGTACCTCTTGAAAATATGAACAGATGATATCTGTTGTACCTGCAAAAAGAATGGTTGACTAAATAATCTGCAAAAGTGTTGCCTTCCCTAAGGATGTGCTCCACTCTTGCATCAACATTAATTCTCAGACCATTGATCCTTTTCACCTCCACCCGACTACTCCAAGGAACCTCCCAAATTCTATTCAAAATCTTTTGGAGCATTAATGAGTCAGTCTCCAATATTGCTGATAAGTATTGATGCATTATACAGTTTTCCAGTCCTCTTCGCAAAGTCATTGCCTCAGACATTAGAATTGAAGTTATTCCCAAACCAAAAGACTCAACATGCATCAAATTTCCTTCATCATTTCTAATACAAAAGGCCCCAGCACTAGGGCCACCAACTCCTTTTACTGCACCATCCGAGTTACATTTGTAGAACCCTAATCTAGGCAATCTCCAGTACACCATCTTACAATCAATAAGGGGTGCATATTTAGTAAAAAAAGGAACCATCAGATGCCAAGTATTACAAATGCTTTGCAACCAAGGATATCTAAAAGTAGCTAGATGATATAAATTTCTGTTGACCTCCATAACCATACCATAAAATGACATACTACGTCCATGAGAAATCATATTTCTCCTTTTCCAGATTTGCCAAGTGATAAATGATGGGACAACCTTGAAAAGAGGTCTAAGCTTTGACGAGCATTCCTTACTCCACCATTTCTGTATAGTACCGTTAATCTACAAAAAAGGTCCTTACACATCAGCAATACTAGCAAAAGTATTCCACACAACTTCTTAGCCATAGAGCACGTCAGAAAAAAATATTATTGTTAGAACAACAACACTTAACTTCATCCACCACTTTAATCTTGATAAGACCTTCCCCAATGGGTATTCTTTTTTTCCACAATCTCCAGGGAACTCCTTTCACCCAAATTTTCTTAGCAATTTTTTTTTCTTCATTTCCTTGTCTCAACACCTCCCAGGCATTTCCAACCATAAATTTTCCAGAGCTAGTAAACATCCATCTTGGTGAGTCCCATTCGTCAATATCCTCTACTACTCCAATTACATTTTGGATATGTTTACATACATCTTCTGGTAGTAATTGGAGCATGAGATCTTCATTCCAATGTCCCTTAATCATCAACTGATTTACCTCATCAAAATAAAAATTGTTAGAATGAGAAATAGGTAAATAATAGTAAAGAGCACCCAATTGTGTCCAGTTATCAAACCATACACTGCAATGACCACACTTTGGTTCCTACCAAATCTGTTGGTCAATACAATCTCTGGCTTCTAACATAAACTTCCAAGTCTGAGAACCTCCATTCCATTCCACCAATTGAGGTCCATGTCTCTTATAATATTTGTTCCACATGCATATTGTCCACATTGAGTTTTTAGTTTGGAAAGTCCACCAAAGCTTGGCAAACGTTGCTTTGGACACATCAAAAAAAGATCTAAAGCCCAACCCACCTTTCTCCTTAGGCCTACAAATATCAGACCATGATATCCAATGTTTTCTTCTCCCCTCTTCCTTAGAGTTCCATAGAAATTTAGCAAATAATCTATGTAAATCATGAATAACACATTTATGAGGTGTTATTGCAGATAAGATGTATATGGGAATACTCTGTAAAAGATTATTAATCAACACAAACTTACCACCAAAAGATAAACGTTTACCCTTCCAAGCCTATATTTTGCTTTGAACTTTCTTCATGATATCGGAAAAATGACTTTTCCTCTTCCTTGCATGACCAATAGGACAACCAAGATAAGTCAATGGAAAATTGCCCCTAATAAAATCAGTGCAATCCTCAATCGTTTGAACTATAGAATGGGTTGTTTTGCTATACACATAGAAGCAACTCTTCTCTTTATTAATTATCTGCCCTGATTGATCTTCATATAAGCCTAGTCTTTCCATAACCAAATCAAGAGACTTTTTCTCTACACTAACAAAGATAACGGTATCATCTACATATGCAAGATGATTAATATCATCACTCCACTTAGGCATTCCATATCTTGTAAGGTCTTGATTATGGAATAAATTGTTTAAAGCTCTAGAAAGAACTTCCGTAGCCAAAATGAATAATGCAGGGGAGAAAAGATCTCCTTGTTTTACCCTTCTAGAAGAGTAAAAGAACAATGAGCTTGTCCATTAATGAAGACTGAATACCAGTTATTTTCCACCAATCTCCACACTTTATCTGCAGCAAAATTGTTAAATCACATTTTTCTCCATAACTTTGATCAGAAATCTCCAATTCACTCTATCATAAGCCTTGGACATGTCAAGCTTAATCACAACATTAGCTGGTCTACCTCTTAATCTGATATCTGCAATAATTTATTGAGCTAAGAGGACATTCTGTGTGATGCTCCTTCCCTTCACAAAACTAGACTGATTAGGAGAGATTAGTCTTGGGAGCAGTTTTTCAAACCTATCATGAATCACTCTAGAGATAACTTTGTTCAGAAAATTACTTAAACTAATAGGTCTCATATCAGAAAATGATTGAATCACTTTTTTCTTAGGTAATATTACCAAATTAGTATGAGTAATATATTTGGGAAGAGTGGAACCATTAAAGAAAGCCTCCACCACATTGATGACATCCCTTCCTATGATATCCTAGCAGGCATGATAGAAGTGCCCAGTAAATTATCGGGTCCACTAGCACTGTCACTATTAAGTTAAAAAACAACCTTCTTGATCTCCTCCACTGTAGGACTAGCATTTAACATAGCGTTGTCTTCATCACTAACTAGTGTGGGAATATGCTCAATCAAAGACAACCCTGTCTCATTCTCAACATCAATAAACTGATCTTGGAAGAAGGCAACAACCTCCGTAGCAACCTCTTGAGCATCATCAGTCTAGACACCATCTCTTTTAAGGATTCTTTTGACTTGTAATCTCTTTCTTCTCCCGTTCACAAGATTATGAAAAAAATTTGTATTCTTGTCTCCTTTAGTAAACCATTTAACACCATATTTCTGTCTCCAAAATTCCTCTTCGTGGTGTAAATACTGTTGTAACTCAGCCTGTGCCTTTTGAAGAATAGCTCTGTTTTCAGCAGTTGGTTGTTCTTCAAAAAGACCTTCTTTAATTCTAACAATTTCTTCCCTTTTTGCAAGTTGCTTAAAAATATCTCCAAATCTCACCCTACTCCATGTAGACAATGCAATTTTAGTCCTCTTCATCTTTTGTTTCAAGTTAATAAAAACATCAATGGACTCATCAGCAACCCAATTATATCTCACAACTTCTTTGCAATCAGCTTTTTCTGTCCAGAATTTCAAAAATCTGAAAGACCTCTTGATATTAGTAGTCTGATCCCCACTACTCAGTAACATGGGTGCATTGTCATACCATGTTCTTGCAAGATGCTCCAACTCCACATTTCCATAATGACCAAGAAAAACCTGATTGATCAACAGTCTATCAAGTCTTTTAAATATACATTCAACATACGCTCTTCCATTCCACCAAGTAAAAGGACTCCCTTTAAAGTTAATATTAAAAGTCTCATAAGAGTTCACACAAAAAGCAAAATCCTCATATTCTTGAGGATAAACAGGATGACCTCCAATTTTCTTTTCATCATTCAAAATAACATTGAAGTCGCCACCAACAAGCCAAGGTAACCTCATATTGTGACTCAGTAAATAAATATCATCCCACAAGCTTAGTCTTTCAAGTGCTGAACACTTAGCATAAACAAAAGTATAGATGATGGAATCTCCCAAATCTTGAAATGTAAGTTGTAATGTAATCTGTTGTTCAGAGTCTGATAAGATCTCCATTTGAATATTTTCCTGGACAAACACCCAAATTTTACCATTTTGATTGTAATTAGCGTACTGCATACCAATCTTCTTTTATACTTCCGAATGTGTCTTGTATGTTGAAAAGTCTCTAGCAGCGCTATGACGAAGAACTTTTGATGTTTGTTAAGCATTTGAACCCTATGAAAAACATGTTGGGTTTTGACTGATCTAATAGTTCTTGTGGGATTACATGCTTCAACATTAGACCTATTTTTCTTCCCCTTTGATTGAACATCTGGAGATAAATCTGCCACCTTCAAAGCATGATTGAGATTGTGCTGATTTTGATCTTTATTTATATCTTCGTTGCTTATTTCTTCATTAACTTCCACATGTTGTTGGTCATTTTTCTCATTTATATTTTGTGCAACAATGTCATGCAAGACCTTAACATAAGAATCAACTGTTGAAGCTATAATTGCCTATGGTAATGGTTCAGTTAACCCTTCTATCTCCCTCTTCTTTTCCACCATTTGTTGTTTTGATTGAGTTTTGTCTCCACCTTGGTCAACTTGCTCATTCTCGACTTCTGGATATGTATCTTTCCCCTTATTCCCATCATTTCCATTTGTTTCACTACCCAACAAATTGTTTACAGTGTTGACCACATCTAGATGCTTCTGAACAACTTCATGTAGATCACTTCTATTACTATCCTTCTCAATATCAATCAGTTGATGTTGTACATCATCTTGCAAGTTACTTTCTTCATTAATATTCTCCAAGTCTGTTTAATATTGTTCTTGTTGCTGCTGTTGCACCTTCTCAGTATTTATTTATTCATTGTTATGCACTAAATTATCATACCACAAGTCACTATTTGTCTTGCTGGACTCATCAGTTCTCATCTCTGCATTGTATAATGTCTGTTGTTGCTTTTGCTCTTTGTCACTGCAGACTACTACAGTTATAGCCTACTTACAATAGTTACAACCTCTGATGTATCTGTTGTATCATCTCCACATATTTCCTTATCCTTTTGCTGCACATATTCACCAACAGTGAGAGCCCGTTCTTGGTCACCACAATCCTTCTTAGCATCTTGAGTTGGTGCTCTCCTCTTGTAAAATGATTGATTAACCCAATTTCTTGTGGTATGTTCTTCCTTGTTACTTGTATATGTGTTGTCTACTTCTGATAACTCAATCTTCTCCTTCTCTTCTACAGACCCTACTTCTTGTCCCATATCACTATCTTCAGGTAAATCATCAAAAGGATTTTTAGTGATTATATCATCTTCTTCTCGATCTCTTGCATTATCACAAAATTTGCCCTTTTCCAAAGTGAATCTTCTTCTAGTAGGATTCCACTGTTGAAAAGTTCTTTGTTGATTTATGTGTGCCTCATTCTTCTTTGTTGGATCTGCTTCTGTTGCCACCTTAATATGATTATCCTTTTTCAATTCAGGATGCAAAACTCTGCAATCATCTTCATTATGTCCTTGCAGTTAACACTTTTTGCACTATTTTGGTAAAACATCATAGAGAATTTTAATTCTTTCCACTCTTGATGATTGAGATACAAGATCCTTAATCTTCAATTCTACAAATTTGGGTAAATCAGCAAGTAGGTCCACTTGAACTTTGACTCTAGCACAACTAGGTCGTGTCTTATTTATTGTCGCCATATCTAAATGAATAGGCTTCCCTACAGCAGAGGCCAGTGAGAATAAAGATTCCTTAACAAAAAAGGTTGTCCATAAGTCAGGAAAGGAAATCCAAGCCATGGCTTGAGTCGTTTTCTCATCCACTTTAAATTTTGCATCATATATGAGAGGTCACATTTGATATGCCGTACCATCCTTTCCCGTGATGTAATATGAATTTTTCGACATCATATTCACAAAATCTTCAAACAATTCAAATCACATTAATATATGTCTATTTCGTAGTAACCCAATCTTACATCCGCCCTTCACATTATATTGTTTGGGAATTTGAATTCACAAATCATCCATCTCTGGCCACCCATAGGAAAAATTCCCTATCACCGCATATTGCATGTTTTCAATGGTGTTTATCCGCCTAACTTCATCTTCAGTTCATGTTATTCTTGCAATACCATTGATATACGAAGGTTGTTTGATGGGAATAGGTGTAGTAGTAGCAGGTTTGATGTTTTGAGATAGATTCATTGTATTAGGTTTAAGAAGGTCAACATATTTGCCTCCTTGAGCAGATGCACAAACCAAATCAGTAGGCAAACTTTTAGGTTCGTCAGGCTTATCCTTCGTTCCAGTATCTTGGTTGCTAATGGGAATTTAATTGGAATTCGGTAGAGAGGGGAATTGAGTACTAGAATTGAGAGAGATTTGCTGACTAGCCGCCGAAGCAGGCTGACCAGTGGCCAATATGGCCATGATCGATCAAAAATTTCTTGTAGCATCGAGGGTTTTGAAGTTAAAAAACCTGTGAATCAGAGCTTGCGCTTCGATTTTAGTAGTATGTACCTCCAAAAACTAGTGCAAAACTTAACAAAAGAATACAACCTTTTGCTTAAAATGGAGGAAGACTTCTGGATTTTAAGATCTAGAATTAATTGGATTAACCAAGGAGATGCTAACACAAAATTCTTCCATATCTCCATGTTAAATAAAAGAAGAAGAAATCGAATAAATGTGTTGCACCTGGAAAATGGGAGTTGGGTATACGAAGAAAAAATAAATTCTCCAATATACATCCAAATTCTTTAAAGAACTATTCCAAACAGGCCATACTCTATTAGCCAGGAATAGTGAATTAACAACAATCCCCAAGGATAGCAACCTCTCGTACCTGGACCAAGACTTAAACAAAAGAAAAAAATTGGGAAGCTGTTAGTTCATTCCAACCTAACAAGGAACTTGGGCCGGACAAGATCCACCCCTTTTTCTACAAAATTACTGCGATGCGGTTGGACCCTCCTTCAACAGCTTCTGCCAAGATACTTGGGCAAAACGAGTCATAGACCCAACCGTGAGCTATGAATTTTGGGAATTAGGCTTTGAAGATGGAACTCTTTTGTTCATTTTTAGTTGTTAGAGAAGACATATTGCCACCATCTCCCTATTGTATTTTTCCTGCCCCTTGAATCCTAAAATCTGCATCAATTAAGTTTGCCTCAAATTAATCTTGGTTCACTATTACAGTTATAATATAAAACAATCATTGAGTATGTATGAAAATGTATTAAACAAAAATTAAAAAAATTTAACCATGGCAAATCAAGCATAAATATTTTTATAGGAAAAGAAAAACTTTAAATTTCATAGCTTTTGATATGATAATAGGTGCTTCATGTGTTTAAGTGGCTTTGGTAACTTGACTCATTTCCATCAATGAAATGAATTAATCTCGATATGTCTTGAATTCATGTTGTGCACGACTCTATCTGGACACTTTGTGATTAAAGGAAGAATCAAAAGAGAAATTCTCTTAGACTTACTTTGTTCTAAAAGAAAAAGGAGAGAGATCAGATACCTTTTGATTGGTTTCTCGTTTTGTGAAAATAATTACTAGTATATATATATATATAATGGAAAAGGTTCAAATATACCCCTGTACTATTAAAAATAGTTTAAATATACTCTTCATTATATTTTTGGTCTAAATATACTCCTTCTGTTATACTTTGGGTTCAAATATACCTCTCTCATTATACTTTGGCACACATTTACCCTTAGTTTTAACGGAGGAGCAATTTTAAGCTCAATAATTTATCTTCAATTTTAAATACAAATTTAACCCGACATGACCTAATTTCTTTTCTTTTCATATTTTCTCTTAAAAGATCCATATATGATTTTTGATAATTTCATCGAAAAAATGGAGTTCACTGGAATTATTGTTCCATTTAAAAAATAAATAACTACAAACCAAATTTGTTATTAACCAATTTATGATTGATCTTTCTATTATCTCAAAGTTATGTTTTTTTTTTTGGTTCATCTTTGGAAATTAGAATTAGTAATAGTTCACTTCATGAGTTAACACCAAGATTTTTATTTTTCGTCTTTAAATGTTGAGAATCTTGAATTTTTTCTCTATTTGACTAAAATTTATATAATGCATAATTATTACTGGATCATATTTACTATCGGGTAGTTTTTCTTCTTCTATTTTTGGACATTTTTTATAAATTAAATATGGGCAATGCCCATTTATTGAATCAATAAAAAAGGGGTTTACTCATAAATGGCTTGAGTCCAAAAGTGACTCAAGCCCAAAACACAGCCTCTGCCGCTAAACCGGAGAAAAAAAGAAAAAAGGAAACACAACGTGCAATCATGTCGGAACAAGAAGCATTTTTCCAGTACATCAAAAGACGTCTGTTGGAGCTCCAAAAATCCTTCTCTCTTCGACGCAACCATGGAAGATCTGCATTAAACTTGAGTGGTATTCATTTGGGTGTTCAAAATTCTCACGAATACCATGAATCCAACTCAGTGAAGACTTCTTCAGTTCAACATTGTTGTCGGCTGCATTCTTCAAGGTAAGGACCAATTCCTCTATTGCTTCCTAAGTCTACTTTAATTGGAAGAAATACACTAACCCTTCCTTAACTCATGCAGATTGAGCTCCGAAGAACTACTACCACTGCATCTGAGTTAAAGATATCTTAGGTATTTTTCAATTTTGTTCAATACATGTTTGAGCTATAGTTGATTGCCATTTCGTAAGATTGAATGTTCCATTTTCTGCCCTGCAATCCTTCTGGAGAGTATTTTTCCTCTGTACCTATGAATTGTTTAACTTGATCCATGGTTTCTTTTTTGACATTTTTTTGTTCTGAGGTTTGGTTGTCATTGCTTGTCTTCTTGTATTATTGTCCTCGCTTGTATTGGCAATAACCCAATTTTTTTCCAATGAAGAGTTGCCAATACAAACAAGGACAATAATACAAGAAGACAAGTACGGATGACCAAAGCTCAGAACAAAGAAATGTCAAAATAGAAACATGGATCAAGTTAAACGATTCATAGGTATTGAGGAAAAATA